CACACTTAAATGTTTCTCCTGTATGACGCCTCATATGTGATTTTACTTCATAACTTTTCGTAAACCGTTTGAAACAAACTTCGCACGCGAAAGGTTTATCTGTGGCGTGCACTCTCATATGAATTTTCAATTTAGACTTTGCTTTGAATCCTTTGGAACAAATTTCACAAGTGAACGAATTATCAATGTTTTTTGTGTCCTCTTCAACGACACATTTATTCGAGTTTAAATCACTGTTAGCATCATTGTGTATTTCTTCAGATGAAGAACCTAAAATGATAATTACTTATTTTTCCGTTTGCTACTCATGATAAAGCAGTATTAGATTAGAAACGATAAAAAGTTTTTCTAAATTTTTGTGGGTGGATCGTTTTCTCTAACGAGCAGTGTATGTATGTTAGAGATGACTGTCAAAAGGTGCACCTATTCTTTTGAACCGAGTTCGCCGCCGTGACACGGAGGACCTAGTTCGTCTTTTGTCAATAGACAGGTGCAGGGGCAGAGCAACCGATTCCTTCGAATCATGTTTTGGAACTCGGACTCGGAATATTTGGATTCGTTCGGCAACGGCCGAGCGGCATAGTCGGAATCGGAACAGAATTTGGAACTCGACTGGGATTAATAACTGAATAGTGAATCTATATTATAGCTTGGCCCTACTGCTGAACTGGTTCGTTGTATGCTCTAATTCGAGATGGTAAAATTCGGTTGGTATTGGGTCACTCATAGCAGTTAGGGAATGGGCAAGGATATTTGAGCAAAATTGTTTTTTTTTTATGATAATTAATGTGGTGTCAAATTACACTGCAATGTGTCAAAAAAATAAATGGCTATTAAAAAATAAATTCTTTAATAAAATTATTTTTATATTACAATATTAAGTATAAAAAAAAACAAATAAGCAAAATGATATTTATAGGCTAGAATGTCTAAAATTTATTAAGTCACTTGTAGGAAACAAGCAAACTTGTTTCCTACAAGTGAACTTAAAGTGGGATAATTATGTCGATTGGTTTTCCACCAAAGAAGGGAATCTTCGTCTTTATTTAAGATATCATATAACGGTACACTTCATTGATAGCTTTACTGATCCCTGTCCCTACCGGTTGTTTTCTGAGATATTTTGTTATCTAAAGAAGACCAAAGCGAATATTTGCTTCTCGTTGGTTCACTGCTAGTAGTCGATTCTTTTCCCATTTCTGTTTGCGGTGGATTTTACAACGAGATCTGCTGCCATATTTGTCACTTTTTTCTTTATCTGATTTGCAGCTGCAGCGCTTTGTAATGGTAGAAGCTTGAAGCGTGGATCTAAAAACGTATTGGCAGCCAGCGCAACATTAAATTCAATATTAGTGAATCATGTTTGGAGTCCATTTTTTAGTTTACCAATAACTTGGTTTGATAAATCTAATTTCAGTTCGCCAGAAGTAATCATTTCCTTCATTACATTTAATAGACCTGCAGTAAATACAATTACTAATGATGCCGATATGTATTTATCCCCACTAACTGATGAAGTTACAGTTTCAAAAAGGCGTAAAATGTCTACCAAATTTTTTATCAAGTCCCATTTTTCTAACGCTATTATAGGTAACGAAATGTTTAAAAGAGCAATTGTCGATAGTATTGCCTTCTCCAATTCCACAAATCCATGCACCTGCACCTGCAAAAATGAACCGAGTCTGCAGTCGGAATCGGAGTCATTGCACCTGATCCCTTGATGGAACTGACTTTGTCATCTCTAATGTATGTGCTTATATTTAAGTAGTTATGAGTTATCGTCATATATGTATGCCTCAAAAGGTTAATTAATTATTAATTCTTTCTTTGAAAATTTCTCAAGTGTGTGATGATCGCAAGATTATGTTACATGTGCATGTTATATGCCTGTACAAAGATGTTATGTTATAGAGGCAGCACCTTTAATCCTTCTTAATCCTTTATCCCCCTAACAGGAATATGGCGGTATCTAAAAAAAAGAATTGGTCCCCAGGTGGGTAGAGCATACAGTAATGGCAAATCCCACTCCTTTGGAAAAAAGGACAGCTTCATGGAATCTGGAGGGAAGCAAGAAATCGCTAAAAACCACAAGATTGAAACATCGCAACTCTAAATATAAGGTCCTTAAGCAAAGATGAAAAAGTCTACGAATTCGATGAAGACATCAAGGACTTATGGGACGTAATTGGTCTAGCAGAGGTAAAAAGAAAAGGGGAAGAGTGCATAACACTAGAGTCCGAAACATCTTATATTACAAAGGGCGAGAAGAACAAAACCTAAGTGGCGTAGAATTTCTAATTTCCAAGAAATATGCACATGAAGTAGAGCAATTCGTAGGAATATCTAAAAGAATTGCAATTATTAGGCTAAATGTAAACGAGTACATCTCCCTGAAAAATATTCAAGTAGCGAATTCTCCAACCGCAGCACATCCCGATGAAGAGATAGAATTTTTTAAGAAAATTGTAGAAATTACCACGAATTATCACAGCACGTATACGATGATAATAGGAGACTTCAACGCTAAGATCGGACAACGATTTGAAAAAACTGAAAACTATATAGGACAATTCGGCTCAGGAGTTAGAAATGAGAGAGGAGAAACCTTGGTTAACTTCCTACAAGCCCACAAATACTATGCAATAAATACATTCTATAAGAAAAAACATCAAAGAAAATGGATGTGGCTATCCCCAGACGGAAAACTCTGAACGAAATAAATTACATACTGTGTAACAAAACAGATATCATACAGGACATAACAGTAATAAATACGGCATCAGTATGGTTAGAGCCCAATTAGAGATAAAACATAATATAAATTTAGAATCACAAAATATACTGAAACAAAGAAAAGCTCTTCTGAGACAAAACAAAAGAGACACTGCAGAATTTAAGAAACAATCCAATAATAAGAAAACAGATACAAGAGGACATTAAAACACATCAAGAAGGCCGTATAGAACAAGTCATAGAGAAAAAACCGAAGTCTCAAATGCACCAAACCGAAACGAGGAAAGACAAACATAATAACCATTAAAAATGAACAAGGACAACTAGAAAAAAGTAAATCCGATATAGCAGACTCAATTGAAAGTTCTACGCCGATCTGTATCGTTCCAGAAACGATCCCTCTAACTCCTCAAAGCAGAACTTGAAAAGGCAGATAACAAAAATGTCAACTTAGAAGTGATGCCCGAAATAAGCCATGAAGAAATAGAAAGAGCAGTAAAAGAAATAAGGCTCCTGAAAGCGATGGAATCCTAGCAGCAATGGAGAAGAAGCCATCACATATCTAAAAATATTATTTAATAAATGTCTATTCGAAGGCAACATACCCGAACAGTGGAATACTGCTAAAACAATACTGACACAGTATTGACACATTGATACACAGACCTGAAAAATAATCGACCAATTTCACTTCTTTCACAACTTTACAAAACCTTTACAAAGATTTGAAAATTATAATAGAAAAGACTAACGAATACAATCTCCCATTATGTCTGGTGGCTTTTATAGATTATAAAAAAGCTTTTTATAGCGTAGAACTGTGGGCAATAGAAGCATTAGTTAACAGCGGGATCCACTCCAGGTACAGAATATTAGTACATAATATTTACGAACAAGATGAAATGATAGTGACGTTGGGTAATGCAATCGAAACAAGACCAGTAAAAATCAACCGAGACGTAAGGCAAGGAGAACAATATCTCCAAAATTATTTACAAATGCCCTAGAAGATATATCTTTAAGTCAATAAACTGGGAAAATAAGAGAATCGCTATTAACGGAAAATACTGAAACCATCTTAGATACGCAGATAATGTAGTACTAATAGCCGACACGTGGAATGCACTGAATACGATGATTGAAGAGCTACACACAGAATGTCTAAAAAAAGGTCTGAAAATGAATTTCAGTAACACTAAACTAACGTCAAACAAAGATGACAAACCTATGATAAACATCCAAGGGACAGATATAGAACACGTAGATGAATATACATATCTGGGTCAAAATGACAAGGTACGCAAAGAAAATGAGACTACCGAAATAAGTAGACGTGTAAAAATGAGACTCTCATACGTACTTAAAAATAAAAATATACCTCAAAGTCTGCGAACCAAAGGGTTTAATTCCTGTATCCTACCTGTACTTACATATGGAGCTCAAGCCTGGACATTCACTAAAATAAACACGGAAAAGATCAGAAAACTCACGAGAGCTATGGGACGACATATGCTGGGTATCTCACTCAAAGACCACAAAATCAATGAAGATATTCGTAAGAGAACAGAAGTAAAAAATGCTGTCTTATGCTCGAATGTCTTACAGATAACCGATGGAAGAAGAAATCGGGAATTGGCGGCCATATGAAGCCAAAAGACCACGAGGAAGACCGCAAATTCGCTTGAAGCGACGATATTAAAAGAACTGCAGGACCAATGTGGAAACGTCTTTCCACATTGGCTATAGTCAAGTGGAATCAAGTCAGAATTGGCTATAGCAGAATGAATTTGAAAGCAGTTTGAAACGAAGTAAAGGAATCAAGAACTACTATCGATCTTCTAACGACCACCAATAATCATGTATGTGGAAATCGAAGACCTTGAAGAAAAGCATGATCATTCAATATGTTTAAGAAAATTAAACAAACAATCAGGTGGTTCAAAAACGAAGTATTCACAATATTAACAAATAAAAGATATAAAGATGGAAGGAGCATATGGATTAATTACATTCATGAACAAATAACTGTTACGAACGAAAATATTATCATAAACCATACAGGGTAAATTAAAAACAAGCAGAGGGCTGGGTAGAAGACAAATCTCTTGGATGAAAAATCTGAGAGAGTAGACAGTAGAACCGAGAGCACTATAAAGAAATTTATGTGGGCCAGAATGATCGCCAACGTCCAATGAGGATTATGGCATGGGAAGAAGCAAATCCTCGTTTACGATACACTGTTTTCAGCAAATCTCACACTTGAAAAATTACTTTCCCACATGCACAGACTTATGTTTTTGTAATCCGCACTTTAGTGAAAAAAACTTGAAGCAAACTTCACATTTGAATGGTTTTTCCCCTGTATGAGTTCTCATATGTTTAGTTAATGATGTGTTGGTAAAAAACTGTTTACAGCAAATTTCACATAAGAATTCTTTTTCCCCATTGTGCGTTTTCATATGGGTCTTTAATACTGTCTTGGTGACAAACTGTTTGCTGCAAATTTCACATGTGAAAAGAACGTCTCTAGTGTGCCATTTCATATGTGAAGTTAAGTCGGAATTAATCGAAAACCGTTTAGGGCAAATTTCACAGGGGAAAGGTCTTTCTCGTAAATGCCCTCGGGTATGTATTTTTAATTTGTATTTTGTTAAAAATTGTTTAGGGCACATTTCACACTGAAAAAGTTCACTAGTATGCATCCTCATGTGTAATTTTAACGTTTTATTGCTGAAAAATCCTTTGGAGCAGACTTCGCATCTGAAAGGTTTTTCTTCGGTATGCAATCTTGTATGAACTCAGAATCTGTAGAAAATCGTCTTGAGCAAGTCTCGCATGAAAAAGTTTGTTCTACAGTGTGCGATTTGATATGCAATTGAAAGTCTTTATTTTTTTTATACTGTTTTGAGCAAATTCCACACTTGCGAGGAACCTTTTCAATATGTACGATCATATGACTTTTTAAACGACTACTTGATACAAACGTCTTATTGCAAATTTTACATTCATAAGGCATTTCTTTAGTGTGCTTTCTCATATGTATCTTTAAATCAGAACTTGTTATACACGGTTTGGAGCAAATTTCACATGTAAAAGGTTTTTCTCCAGTATGTGATCTCATATGCACTTTAAGAGCGGAATTATGAGAAAAATGTTTTGAACAAATTTCACATTGAAAAGGTTTTGCGCCTGTGTGCAATCTCATATGGACGTTGAAATAATGATTGTCTACAAACTGTTTTGAACAAATCTTGCAGGTGAAAGTTTCTCCAGTGTGCCATCTTACATGCCGTGTTAAATTACCTTTGTTTAAAAAAATTTTGGAGCACACATCACATGCGAAACGTCTTTCTTCACTGTGCCCTATCACATGCGCTTTTAATTTGGAAGTTGTTGAAAATTGTTTGGAACATATTTTACATGAAAAAGTTTCTCCGGTGTGTCCTCTCATATGAATTTTTAAACTACAATTCGTTATAAATTGTTTCAAACAAATTTTACATGAAAAAGTTTCTCCAGTGTGCCACCTCATATGTGATGTTAAAGAATAATACTTAAAATACTCTTTAGGACAAAGTTCACACTTAAATTTTTCTCCAGTATGAAGCCTCATATGCGATTTTACCTCATAATTGTATGTAAACCGCTTGAAACAAACTTCGCATTCAAAAGGTTTTTCTCCTCTGTTCACCTTCATATGAGTTTCAATAGACTTTTCAAGGTTTTTTGTGTCCTTTTCTAAGAAACATTTATTCGTGCTCAACTCACTTTGTATCTCTTCAGAGAAGGAACCTAAAATTATAATTACTTAAGAAATTTGTAAGGGCACACGGGGTTTATATTCCTTGAAGTAAAATTGTTTCTTCATAAAGTTTTATATTACAATGTGGTAGAGAATACTAAAAATTATGCGGAAGTTAAAGTTTACCCGCTGTTAATCTACGCAAAATGCCCTTACTCCCAGATTTTTTTTTACATCTTGTGATTTTTTTTTTTTGGTGAGTTGCCATAATGTACCCTAGTAACACACGACGTCCTATGGACGTCCAATATACGTCGAGTTGTGGTCCGGACGTCCCTGAACGTAAAATGGACGTACGAAGTGGGACGTACTTTGGGTGGACTAAATATGGACGTTCCCTGGACGTCCGAACTCGTACGTTTTCTGGACGTCCGACATTTACCAATTATGGGATCAAATAGCAAATATTTCAATAAAATAAAAAATTATTTAAATTAATAAAATAATTAAACACGAAAAGGTTAAATCATGATTAATTAAAAATTGTATATCCAAAACATGTTTTTAGGTAAAATGTAAAAATCTTTTATTCTAAATAATTCGTTAAAATTATTTTTATTATTCTAGTTATCACGATGATATACAGTATAGGTAAAAGTTTATGGTCGGTATGGACCTTACATTAGATGGAGTGAGAAACAACTGTTTAAAAAGAGACATATATTAGGTGTCCGCCTTTTATATCACCGAACTAAATGAGTGGTATGGAGTGGATATAATAAAAAGGGGAAATTCAACGTTGCCAAACTTATTGGTTTTATTTGACCTGTTGTCTTTTTCGCATTTGAACAATGCTCAAGATAATGAAATTTGGGCGAAATGGATTTAAATGGCAGCTTATTGTTTTTTATTGGGAATATGCCACAATTTTACTTTACAATAAGTGTAATATAACATTTTGATTTATACTTCGGAAATCGTTTTATATAAATAAAATTTATTAATGTTTGGTATTTTAAAAACGATTTCCGAATTAAAAATCTAAACATCAAAATAAGCTTATTTTAAAGTGACATTATGCCTTATTTCCAATAAAAATATTAAACTGCATATAAATAAAAAGATTCGTATAACTATTTGCCAACGTGGCGTGTCGCGTGGTCAAATCACCGAATCAAAGCGTTAAACAGGTATTTACGAATAGAGGGTTCGCCAAAACCGATTTTCGTAAACAAGTAACTATGATTTTTTAATAGTAGTTTCAAGTAAGAAACTACCTACATAAACAAACATAATGGCTATTATCGTTTATCTGTATATTTATTGAAGTGAAGGAAACTAATAAAAGATTTTATTATAATTTGAAAACTAAACTAAACAATACAAATAGTAAATCGTACCTACGTTTACATTACACGTTATTATTAAATCACGAATCGTCTAAATTGACATTTAAAACATAAGTTTTTTTATTTTACTTCTTATTAATTGTGTTTTTCTTTTATTTAAAATTAAACCTGATTTTGAACATGTGTTCACATTTACAATACTTTATGAATATAGTGTTAAGTTAGGAGATACATGGCGATGGTTTTTCCACCATTGTAATGGACTCTCGCTACAGGTGTACGTTTAGATGAGTCATGTCCAATTAATTGATCAAAAATACACCATGGACTTAAGTCATCTTTATCGGTTTCTTTTTCCTATACTGGTTGATTTTCAATAGTACAATCTTCTTGTTCTTTAATTATAGAAGTAACTAGCTTCTTAACTCTTTCTTTTGTTTTTTTAGCGTCATTTTTATCAGAAAATTCCTGCACTTTAAATCGTGAATCCATAAACGTACATAATGACAATATGCCACTGTATTCTATCCCTCTAAATCTTTTTGCTAAACCCGAGATTAGTAATTATCCCGTAATTAGTAATAAAAACCCGTACTACGTCGGATACTAACTATGGATGTAAGGTTACTGTTTGCTAAAATTTTATTGCAGATTTTTGCAGGCAGCGTACCAGAACAATCACTGAACTATCATTCAAGTATTTTTGGCCACTCATTGTACTTGTTATTTCTTTAAAAGGCCGTAAAATTTAGGACAATTACGAAAAAATAATCCAGTCTTCATTATTTAGATTTGGTCTAAGTCTAAGTCTGTATTAACTGATACCAATGTGGAACGGATTGCCTCTTCTAACTCCGTCATTCTTTCTAACATGTAATAGGTGAAGTTCTACCTAGTTTCCACGTCTTGGATTGGCCGTTTGGGATCTTTGTTATGTTGTAATTGATACTTTAAAGCGTTTCTGAAGATAAGGTACTTTTTTGAAATGTGTTTTTTGCCGAATTGTCGAAAAAAAAGACTTTTTATTTTATCTATTTGTACACGACAGCATTTAAGGTTAAACGTATGAGCAAAACAATTTAAATGTTTTCATTCCAAAGCATATTTAATAGCTATGACCATATTTGAGGCATTATCAGTTACTGCAAAATTTACTTTTTGTTTTAGACCCCACTGAATAATAATTTCACTAATTTTAAAAGCGATGTTTTCTGAATTATGGTTTCCAGAAAAATGGCAGCGTCTAATTAAACCGTGTTAAACTCTAAATTTTCGGTTTAAATTCGTTAAAATCAACTAGTTGATGGTTGAAGCTGGTTACTTCTATAAAAAAAGAAAAAGAAGATTATACTATTGGAAATTGACTAGTACAAGAAAAAGAAACTGATAAAGATGACTTAAGTCCATGTAAATGTAAGTACTATTTGTATTGTTTACATTTATTTTTCAAGTTATAATAAATATATTCTTCGTTAGTTTCTTTCACTTTAATACTTATACACATAAACGATAATAGCCAATATGTTTGTGTACTCGCTAATTTGAATTACTGGTAAACAATCAACTAGTTATCAGTTTACGAAAAACGGTTCGATAAAAATTTAAAAAACTAAAGGACCACTCTAGTTTCTTAGCTTTATGAGGATCGGAACCACAGAATATGTTAAAATATCTCTGATCGGAACTAATCGTCTCACTAACAGGCAAAATGGGCGTCAAGAAGATTTATGGAGGGGTGACCAAGGGGGAATATGATTGTTATCTTTGTCTATTCGCTGAAAATATGATTTTATATCTGTGTTAGATATCCTGTTAAGTTTTACCATACCGACCATAAAATTTTACCTACACTGTATGTTTGCTAATGCTAATAAGTAAAAGTATGATTTTTATCAACAAGATGAATCTTCAAGATCTTTTCAAAGATGAACAAGTGGTGGTATATACTCTGGCTGCCGGCTGGACAAAATAATGATGATATTAATAAATTGTCATTGACATGTCATACCTATTTAAACAAATGGCACAGTTTAATTATATTATTATTGCTTTAATAAAAGAATTCTATTTAAGCAGTATACAGTGCATTGTTTTTTTATGCTAGCTTTGGTTATAGTATATTGTTAAAGGTTTTGTATCATTTGTTAGGTTAGTTCCGAGTTTGGTTTTTATTTGATTACAAAAAAGTAAGTGTAATTTTTCCTAAAATTGGTTATGTTTAAAAGAAAACAATTTGTTTCAAAGCGTCATCAACAGAAAGGTTACGAAAAACGTACAGAATATTGTTGAAAATATTAATAACCCCGATATTCCATCTTCTTCAAACCTTTATTCGGAATCCCTAACTGATCATTTTGATGAGTTTCAGTTCAAATAGTTCAGGTTACAATACTTCCGATTTAAACTTTTTTTTATTAACATGTTAAGTACCTAAAATAATCCAAATTACCACGTGGACGACCATTCTGATGATCGTTTACAAAGCTCTTCTCTCAATGAAACTGAAGAAGGGTTTAGATTGGTTGTAACGAGAATTCTGGAAAACCTTATTGAGATGTTGTTAATTTTTTTAATAAATTATGCAACTGGACTTTGTCCTTTAATACTAGGTGTTTTATTAAAAATTCATAAAGAGTTCCTGATCTTTCTCATTTGAGTTCAGATGCTAGAACCCTTCTTGCTTCATCCAGAGAACAAATACTCTGATCCATATGATTTAAATTTCAAAGGTATTTTTATTTTCAGAAAAAAAAACAATGTTATATAAATTTGTGTAAATTTTGATGGAATTACACTAAAAAAAGTTTTTAGTAGTCAGTTTTATCCTAGTTTGTATAATTTGCTTATATATCCTCTAAAATTGTAAATTTAATAGGCATTTACCATGGTTATGGGAAACCAAAATTTGCAAATGAATATTTGATTGATTTTGTAACAGAGGCTGTTTTTTTATTAGATAGTTTAAGCTAAAATAATTAAGCATGGATGATCAAGTTTGTGAAGTTGTTAGATTACTGTGACATATTGATTTATATTTTAGGATAATGAGTTTTCCAAAATTGGTGAGGAGACCATAAACGAATTTGTTAGAAGAAGCCAGAAGAACCTGATCTGCAATAAAATTCAAGGAAAATATAGTTGGCTAGGGAAAAGGCGATATAAAGCTTTTGAAGACATACATATAGCTCTGATTTTAAAAGGTTTGTAACTTGTAAATATAAATCAATTTAAGGTACATTTAAGAATTTACACTATCACTTAAGTAGCTACATACAGCCGATGAAGCATACCGTTAATTGTGTCTTATATGTAATTTAGATGGCAAATTTTACCAACTCACAAATGTTCAGGTCTGGCTATAAGATTGCTTTAAGAACTACAGCTAGCTAAATGAGATGAAGGTTTGTTATTGGCCGTATATTTTACTTATACACTGTTATTTTTGTTTTTTAAGTATCAAAGTGTAATTACTGCTCATTTGGTCATCAGAAATAAATACCAATGGTTGGGTTGGTATTCTTCTAGTTTAGGTGAGATTCATTAAAACTACAGCAAGCACTTGAAATTCATGTGTTTAATTTTACGCCTTTGAATGATGATTTATTCACAATAAGCAAAGTATAATGAATTATATCTGAAATTAGTTTGTTCAATTTATGATAATTTTGTTTTCAGATGCGGCTTGGAAAAACTCCAAAACC